AGAAACATAACTAAATATATTGTATTTTTTGTATTTTTATGATTTATGACAAAACTACGCAAATATTTATTTTTTTTATTATAAATCATAAAAATACAATAAATACAATATATTTAGTTATGTTTCTGTGGTGGCGAACATATTCGTGAAAATATTCAACCCCCCCTGTCATCTGTCCACGAGAAGTTTTCCCGAAGATTGCGCGTGACTTTCAAATGATTTGTTTTTTATTTTGAACCTAAATGGTATACGGGAGGATTTTTCCTTCCTAATGGGACAAATATTGCCAATTTTTGGATTGGGACTATTCTACAATGAAGTACTCTTGGATACTGTAATCTAAATACATATGGAAACGAAGAAGTTGCATTTATCAGACAGAGATGCGGCGAGCCATTAAAATGGCGGCAATTTGGCGGAATATCGAAGGACACAATATCGAAGGTAAAATACACTGCACTGTTACAAAAGTGGATGAAACCTTCTTTGAAATCTTCTTCAGCCATTTATGATTATGTAAAAGTACAATAACTGGATGATATTTGCGAGATTCGGCGATAAAAAGCAAACAAGACGGCAAAATATGGCTGAAATCGTGTTTTCGTGGGGGGTAAGTGAAATAAAATGTATTATATTTAAAGAAAACAATGACAATCCTTATGAAATCAACAATATTTATATTAAATTAAGCATAGTTTTTCACCCCATGATAATTTTTTTTAGGAAATAAGAATATTTAATTTCTGCCAGGCATATTAGTTATTTTGTGCATAATCAGCAATTTACCTTGGGTGGTGCATAGTCATTTTCTGGTAAAATATTATACTTCGACAAATTTTTCCTTCCAATGACCACCCCTAAAAGCAACCCTTCTAAACACTATAAGCACTTCAGAAAGGCTATCGCTTTTCCTTTTCGGAAGTTAGAGCTATGTCGACACTACCGTTTCAGGGCGGGGTCATTTTCAGGACTTTCGTCCCGGATTCAGGTTTTCGCACATATGCCATGTTGACCGCCATGGTCATTTTACCCTAAAACAGTTGAGATTACCTGTCCTAAATGAATCGCATACAAACTCATATACAGGTCCTAGACTAATTGTAAAATTGACATCGGTGCTACTAAATTCTGTATTTTTATAATTCTGATTTATCTTTCTATTAAACCCGCCAAAAGCGGAAAAATACAGGATTTAATAGCACGGATGTCAATTTTACAATGCATTTTACTACAGTTACTTGCTAGGCCGCCATTACTCTGGCAAGAACATGCGTGGGCGCCGGCAGCGTCAAAAACATCAAAGGAGTGAGCCATCTATTCATTCCTTAATCTATGGCTAAAGGGTCAAAAAACACATATATAGCCTCGTCTAGATGTTAAAATAATGCAGATACCGCTGGTCCGTAACATAGACGTATTCAATTACGATAACAGCTATTCAAGAGGTAAGTTGCACTTGAAACTGTGCTTTTATACACCAATTCGAAAAAGAGCTGTCAAAGTCTGGAGGACTGTGGCGAGTTACACGAAAACGAGGCTAGTCAGGTTAATTTTTCGCGCGAAGATTTTGAAATTGTTTATATTTTTTAAATAACATGGCCTCATCAGGTTTTGATAGCTTTGACGTAGAATTAACCGAAGCGGCTTGACAACGAAAGACAGTTGCGGATTGAGTGAGATACAATTACCTGAAAAATACAACCAGAACTTCAACGTTTCAACTTTCGAGGGAAGATCCGACCATACTAACTTCCCGACGAAGAGCATTCGCTCGAAACGTCGAAGTGCTGCTTGCACTACCAGGACAATGAGTCTATAGTTGAACTGATATTAATACTGAAGAAAGATTCTCAAACGCTTTAAAATTAATTGGAAAGTGAGGCTTTCAATTTCTGAACCAAGATTTGTATGGACGAACCACTTTAGGATAATTAGCTTTGTAATCATGTGAACTTTAATTATATAAATGAGGAGATCAGAGATATATCACCATGGTAACAGAGCCGTGATGACTCTTAAAACACAGATGGCTCATATTGTACTTTAACAGTAGGCATTTTTACTACGCAAGGCTCTGCTAATGTTCCATTGTCGGACGTTTCATTTGTAAGGTCTATGTCAATCTAAAGGATCTAAAGTCAATTCAAATGAGCGATAGACATAGTTGACTTTAGAAAAAACTTACTGCACGATTGATGACATCTTCTTCTATATATTCACATTGAAAAGGTAGGCCCTAAGTAGTTACACTGTATAGTCATTATTTAATATCAGCAATGTCATATGGCTGGCCGGTCGTAAACTTTATGATACGTGAATCACAAGTAAAATGTCTTGCTGAAAGAAATCTTCTTAGTGCCTAAGGTATTTCAGGTGATTTATGAAATAAAAAAAGAAAAGATAATTTAATAAAATGTATGATGGCGGGATACTGGGATAGTATGACATGATCGATTTAAATGATCTATAAATTATCCATATGATATGTTATATTTGAATAAATGCTGGTATACGCGGAATTCACACTTTAATTGAACTTGACATAGCAATATAGCCATTTAGTTGAAAGAAAACACACATAATGTCACTTTTGATCATTCTATTTTATTCTGCAACTTTTGTGAATATCGGTTTCCCTGCCAGGTGCTAGCCATGCTCAAGAAACTAAATGTTGACATGATGTATACATGAATAATTTAATAACACACAGCCTCGAACCTTGATTGGTGAAAATGTATGTATAAATTTAAAACAAGCTTGTGTTTAACTCCGTATTCCTATCAATGAAGAAGAATGTGCTTAATTAATTATACTCGAAATTATATCAGTAACCTTTGCACGGAAAACAAATTTCAAGAGAGTAGACGACGGTATCTGAACAGTTACGGCGTCCCTCAGTAAAAATATCGAACGCTATATATATATATATATACTACAGACGGTACCGTTTCGGCCTTATGGGCCTCATCAGTGTAGTGCTGATGAGCAGGATGAAAGTAACTGCTATTTACAGTTACCTTTGATGCCTCACGATTGTGGGACATCCAAACCATGCCAGAGCGCTCAAACTGCAAGCAGTGAGCGTGCGCAATGCGTAAGCGGCATGGCTCATCCTGTAGAGCGCTCAATATGACCTGAAGGCCATAGAGCGATATCTAACTACAGACGGTACCGTTTCGGCCTAATGGGCCTCATCAGTGTAGTGCTGATGAGCAGGATGAAAGTAACTCTTATTTATAGTTACCTTTGATGCCTCACGATTGTGGGACATCAAAACCATGCCAGAGCGCTCAAACTGCAAGCAGTGATATATATTAAATTCACCTGATGAGTGTGGCAAGCATTGCTTGTCATACGAAACAAGTTTGTAGTGAATATATATATATATATATATATATATATATATATATATATATATATATATATATATATATATATATATATATATATATATATATATATATATAGGCGAATGTCAATAAGTATATTGAGTGTCGAATCATACGAATAGAGTGCTCGATACGAAGGTAGAGCAAATGAAAGACAAACTTGAGTTACTTCGTTTAAAACATTTATTCACGA